GTTATACATCAAATATATTATAATATATCCATAAAATATGTTGCTTGGTCAGGGGTCAAGATATAAAAGGGGTCCTTTAAGGAAAAAGGTTGGGAACCACTGGTTTAGCTTTACTAAACACTAACTCTGCTGTAAAGGGATCATTATTCAACATCTTACTATTCTTCTTCAGTGTGTGTGCTTCCTCTGTTTGGTCTCAAATCCAAATGGACTCAAACAGAGAATATTTAGTGTCTAAGCAACTAAGCATGGACACTTTCATACAGAAAATTTTCTGAGTAGACATCAATTTTCAAGTAACTAATGTGTACACTAAGGCTGAAAGGAAAATTCTTGGGAGTGCTGCTGTTATGATTCTTCTCTAGTCAGATGAGATGGATATCAGTTTCATCTTTGCACGTCCAGTCCAAGACGTGTTTAGTCTAGTTCAAGAGCCAGCACAAAGAAACTGAGCAAGCTTATCTCTGTCAACAACTTCAAATTGTCTGATTTACTTATTCCATCTTTCATATTTAACTTCAAGAGAACACATTGTGGGTTTTATGAGCAGTAAAGATGAATATATGGTTGTGCATTATTAAGGGGTTATGGCGTATGATGTTTCTGATGCCGGTGGAGATTGTTGAGAGTAAAAAAAAACATAAACACAGTATTAAGAAATACTTAATTATCTTCTCCTTATCACTGTTACTCTGTATTACAAAATCAATTAAAAAGCATGAACTATTGCTAAGTTGTTGCTGTTAAGTATTTAATAATAATTAATAATTTATCTATGTCATGCGTGCTTTTGCTTCAGTCAACCATTTCATAACTTTAGAATCGGACCATTGACCGGTTTATGGTAGGTTTAGATTGATCAAGGGGTCAACGTACCGATGTAGTTCCATCATGTTAAAACGTATTGGTAAATCTTTACACTCTCACTAAACTGCCGTCAACCTCCTGCGTCAAGTATAAATCCAGCAACAGCACTTTGAGCTATTTGTTGACCAATAGTTGCTGGACGTAGTGACTGCAGGCAACATCTCAAAGTCCTGCCCTCATAATGGGATTGCCATGTTTGGACCCTTTCCTAAGCCTGATCAAAGCCCAAATGGTGAACAAAGCTCGACTGTCATGTAAATAAGACAGTTTTGTAGTTGTTGGAAGGTGTACTTTTTCCTCTTCCATTTTAACTCTTCATTTTGTTGCTAAGCTACGCAAAGCACATCCTGGCCCACTGAACTGAGCAGAAATTAAATCTCATCAAACTCAGGGTCAGATGCTTTCCAAAAAAAGGGATGCTTTCCAAATCAGTTTCCTGGTTTGTGTATGAACAAAAGAAAACGGATCCACCCAGACACCCACTAGTAAATTTACAATCTGATTCTGTCCTATTGTTCAAACAAGGAGGCTGTAAAGCTTCACTGCTAAAATAATATTTAGGAAGACAAGCAGGTAGTGGAGGTGTGCGTGTGTGTGTGAGTGTGAGGGAGGCTGTGAGGTTGCGCATGTACCTTTATATTTTTAGATCAGTGTGTTTGGGCAGACTGCGGCGCACTCACACAGCCCAGATTGATGAGATACTTTGCTAAGTCGCTACAAAAGAAAAACAAAAATGAGTACACACCTTCCACAGCTTATAATAAACCAAATATCTGTGTGAACGTCTCTGAATTCTAAATCGCACTAACATTGTTTGGAATTAAACATAGACCCCATTTACGTTTTAAATTATTTTACCTTTAGAGCCAACAGACTTCTTTCACTTTCTGGATGCAGTTGTCTGTTTCTGTAGGAGACTACCTGAAATGTGGTACAACAATTGTAAATCAATCTAAAGCAGTACACATTCAGTAGAGCACTTTCTAAAAGGATGACACATTTTGAGGCGGTCTACCAGACATCGATGAAGCAATAAAAAAAGACAAGATATGGGCTTTGCATGGAAGCCAAACCAGTGTGTCTGGGGAGTCACTCTTATAATCTAAGGTATGAATTACACCTGGTCACGTTAGAGGTGAGAAGAAGCCTTCCTCCTCATTGCTCACACACAGCAAGTTACAGCTGCACACTAACTGTAGCTGTTTTGTGGCTAATAACCTAGAAGGATAACTTACTGTAACACAAGGCTTACAAGCATTGTTTCACTGACCTCTAATGGTTAACCCAACAGTGATGTACACTTCTGCAACACTGCAGCGAGGCTATGGTAGAACCAGCCGAGTAACCCTTGGAATGGGAGGATTTCGTGCCTCATGATTTATGTCCAGTGTCGATGGAGGAAGTAATATGCCCTTTATGAAGTGAAGCAGAAAGTAGAGGTGTCGAGGTCGGTGTGGTAGATGGTACAGCATGTTTGACTTTCACATAGGAGACTGGAGTTCACCTCTTGTCACAGACCTGCAATTAACATTCATGTTTTTATTGTATGTGAGCTTTCTTTAACCTAAACCAAGTGTNNTAACCATACTTAATTTGCTATAACCACAATCTTTCCCTAACCTTAAACCAGCTATAATCGATCGACAATGTGACTATGTGACAGGGCCGCAGCTTCCTCAGCTTTATGAAGCTTTAAAGTGAGTTTCAGCTCATTGTTTAGCTCTCCCGCTGCGACTTTACTGTTTAGTTCACTCTCACCGCTCTCATTATCTTTTTCTGCAGCAGGCTGCTGTTTTCAGCAAAAATACTCTGATGAACATAGTGGAGCATTTAGCAGCTTAAGAGACAGATATTTTAAACAGGAGTTGGTGAAGACCAAAAACAGAGCTAAAAGAGAGTGACTATTAAACACACACACGACTCTAAATTAATGCTAATGTTGCTCTGTAACTGCTGGATGTGTAAATAAGCAACTGTTTGCTAACAAGTTTGCAATGCCAACTCAAAAGGTAATGGTAATGGTGTTGTGTTCAGGACTTGTTTCCGCAAGTAGCCAAAAATAAAGAAATCAGTACTGCAGTTTTTGCAGTAGTTGCCATTTGTAGAAAACAAGAAAGCAAATGTTGCCTCTGAACATTAAAAAGACTAATCCAGGGTTTTTGCAGAATTGTCCAATATTGATGGTCTTATCTTATTTTAGGGTTGGTAAATTCAGTCCTTTAAAGTGGCAGTGGAAACTCAGCTATTGCATTAAATTAGCTGCTGGAATTTTTTTATTTTTTTCAGCCATCAAGAATAATTTTAGAGCTGCTTTTGTTCTTCACAAAGCTGTCATGATATTTTTCCTCTTTTGGTACAAAGCAGCATTATACGGGTAGATGGCGGTGGACAGTGCGGTCGAAGAGTCACCCAAATGAGCTGACATGGTCCTTCTGGGAGATAAGTATAGAATATGCCATGGAGCAATTCACCACAATTCTGTGTATTTCTGCTGTTAAGGAAAGCTGATGGTTGCTGTTTCTATAAACACTTACCAACACTACACAGACTAATGCTGCTGAATAAGATTATAAACAGCTCACTCGCCTTCCTTCTCTAACTCTGACAAGAACTGAATAAGCCTGCAAAACTTCAAAATGCCCACACTAATCATCATTGTGAATTCCCATTTTTACTAGCCAACACAGCCCAATGCTGAGAAATGATAATAATCCTCTGCGTTGGCTTTGCTGAAATGTCTTCATCTGGCATCTTGAGCACTCTGTAAGCAAAGAAAATACAAGCATGTGTGCAAATGCAAAGTCTGTATTTACAGAAAAGCCAAGTGACCATTTAAGATGATTTAAATCTGAGGAATGAATATCAAGTCTGTCCTTCCAGAGAAATACAATCACAATTTGGTCCCTTTTAATTAGCTAATTAGCAATTTTTATGTAAGAGGACAAACTCACAGAGCGGATACGCTGTATATGAGCTCCCTTACTTCTGCTTAATTGATCCCCAATTAGCCATTAATTATTTGATTACCTCATTTAGTCTGCATGTCATTGGTTTGTATGTCAGTGACAAGTTAGCTCTAATTAAAGACCAGGACACTATAAGCAGCCGAGGAGAAGCCATTTGCAGGCAGGGGAGAGCGATAGATATTCATGAGATTGTTTTAATCTGTAATAAAGACCTAAATTACCAGCAGTGTTGAGAATATGAGGCTTCCTGTTGTAGAGAAGCAGCGTAATGTGACGCTGCTTCTCCGTACGTCTGTGCTCTTGCCAGCGGCTGGACAGGATGTGTCCATCTGCCTTAAATGGCCATTATGAAAGAATAATGTGCTACCATGTTACTCATAATTAAAGTTATCTGGGTGTCCATACAGAGGTGATTTCAGTGATTTTAGAAGGTTATGTTCAGAGTTTTCTGCCTGCCTTGTTTAAAGTGAAAGCCTGTAAACTCAAGTAGGATGTAAAACGTGTTCTGAGAATAAACCCCTGTTTCGCATATTTGTTTTTAAAATGCAAATGAAGCATTCTTTTGTGCTTGAGATGAAAATAAAGATAGATGTTGTTCAGGTAGAATTTTCCTTTATGTAACTTTAATTCCACAGATGTACTTTGAATAAATGTCTTTCTTAAAAGTCCAGTGTGTAATATTTAGGAGGATCTATTGGCAGAAATGCAATATAATATAAAAAGTAAAATAATAACATAAAAGTATTACTGTTACTGTATAATCACCCAAATATAAGAATTGTTATGTTTTTGTTACCTTAGAATGAGCTGTTTTTATCTACATATGCTGCTGGTCGCCTTCCATGGAGTCCGCCATGTTGAATTGCCATTTTTCTATAGTAGTCCAGAAGGAAAAACTTGGTCTAGATAGAGGCGTTTTTTGCACTTTTCCCTGCCACCGTAGTTTCTCCTTTGTGCTTGGAAAGGGAGGGTGTAGTGAGTGAGTTGCATTTTGCACATCACTTAATCCTACACACTGGACCTTTAAACATAAATGTGTTTTGCAGCACATTCAGACATCGCCTCCAGAGCAAACTTGGACAAGTTAATGTACTATAGCTTAGCAACATTTCCAATGAGGTTATTCTAATTAACCTTAGATGGAACAAAATACAACAAAGCCATGACCAGATTCTACCATTTATTACACATATTACATTCTTAAATAAAAATGCTCCACTTAACAGTTCTTGCATAGATATCTTACAATACCAATTTAGAAAAGAATTATGAAACAGACCAGTAACAAAAATAAATTTTCTTCTTCCTTAATAAAGAACATTACCATACTAACATCATATAATACAAATAATATTTTAAACACTTTGTACAGCAAAAAATTGTAAGTAAAACAAGAGAACTCAAAATAAAAATAAAATAAAAAACTCATCAGAAGTGACGGTGACAGAGGAGAGGAAGGCGGGTGTGGAGTGAAGGTTTATGGACTGAAGGTTGATATGAACGGTAACAGAGCCCCTGTAGGACAGGTGAGAGGTAAAACACATCTGCTGTCTTCTCTTTTGTCTACATTTCAACTCATCCCAGGAAATATTTAGTTGTGATCCTTTAACAATTATGCTTTGAGCTCACCGTGTACACACACTGGATGATATAAAGGTGCTAACATACAGCTTTTGCTAAATGGTGACACTGGATTGGTCACTTTTCCCAGTATGTGGTAGGAGGATTGGCACCAAAATGTAATTCCTTTTAATATGGCTTATATAGGCCATCCCTCTTGTTGATTATGATCATATGTTACTCACCAGATGCTAAGCAGAGATTTTGGATGGGTTCTCCATTTAATACAGCTTTATAACAACATCCACTTGGGCAAGCAAGATTAGCATCATGCACATTTCTAAAGCTTCAAATTTCACCAAAATTACCTAAAACGTTTGTTTGGCACTTGAACCTGAATGAGACATTTAAAGTTGTGCTGTGCTTTCTTCAACGTGTCCTCGATCTCTAAAAAACAGCTGGTGAGCAGCAACATGTTGTCATAACCAATAAGGAGGACTGAATATAAATTTTAAGTAACAATTTAAACAAAAGAATCCTGTGACAGAAATAACACATCTGATCTGATCTCTGATCTTTGATACCTTCTTTTAAGTTAATTGGCAAAAAATGTAATGTCACATTAGATCACTAAGTTTGTTGATTTCCTTTGATATGATGCAGTACTGTTTTATGGAGCTATGTACCAAAAACAAACACAACATTTTTGGATACCAATCCTTTTTGCACATACTGAGAGGGGGAACATCTTGCCACACTCTGCGTCAGGCATTAGGGTTTAACTGAGCAGATAAACTGACAGAGATGGAAAAGCACCCACAAGGATGGGTCAACTGAACTTAAACAAACTGTACCGAGGACATTTAGCTGGCAAGGTGGAAAGGTTATTGCAGTCTCAGCAAAGAACTGCTTGGAGCTCCCAAGCTGCATAGCTCTTGAGAATACTTCCTAGTACAGCTGGATATCTGAAGACTATAGTTGGCCCCAGAGGGCTCTGACGGTTGTGGTTTTGGTGGAGAGGGTTTGGTGTGGGTGAGGTGAAATATACAGACACAAGGAGAGGGGTAAAGATCTGTGAATCTCTTATATACTGACACATCAAGCATGGACAAACACAGTAGTTACAGACAGACAGAGTCACTCCGGGATGCCACTGATTACCAAGAAAGTTTAACCAGGTCACAGCATGACTGAATGTTTAAAGTACAACATATTCCCCCGGAATAACGGTGATGAAAAAGGCATTTCACTGGAGGTTTAAGTTGATATGTCACTCTGATCTATCACGAGTGGACCTGTAGTAAATGGTTCTTGGTGGCAAAGTGCATCCTGGACGTGTAACAAATGTTAAGTGGATATTTGACAGAGTGCTCCAACAGACTATGCTAGCAGTGCGTGCACATGAAGAGTGCAATAGCTAAGTATGGTCATGTAGTGCAATGTTTGCAAGAACTAAAGCAGATCTATAGAAACGCTGAAATGTTTGAGACGGTGCTGTCGCCACGTACAGTTAATTTCACACAGAGCGGTCTGTACGTAAGATCTCACGCTATTTACAAAAGCTGCCTAAAGTGACAATCCTTCTTCAGGGTGATATGGTGGAAAACTGTGGAGACTGAAGCCTGGTCCATCAAAGGACTGTGTGCAAACAACTTCCTGTGGTCAGACGATGTCTAAAGGCAGTTTTCACACTGGGTTTGAATCCAAAGATGAGTTTGTTTGCCTTTCTTCTCCTAACCCTTCTGGTCTGCTGTAACACTTGTTTACTGGGTCAGCGGCCTGTTTCACAAAAGCAATTTGCCAGCAGTGCTAAAACACAGATTGCAGTTCTCCATTTTATAAATGATGGTCAATTACAAATTGCAAATGTACGTGAGAGGAAATGATCTCCCTTTGCAAATTGCAGCTCGGATGTTGCAAATTTGGTGCAACAAGCCCATAATCTGTGGTACGTTTGCATAAATCCCTTACCAACAGTTCCTGTTGCACTATACTGCAACAGTAATGATGTTGGCATGCATACAAATTTCTCCTTTTGGGGTACAAACTACTGTCCCCGAACTGTACTTCAGTTCACCAGGCAGTGATTTCAGACAGCACATTATTTGGGTGGATTTGGGTGCAATTTCTGCATCCGACTTTGGAGTTTTTAGGCAAACCAATCCCAGACTTGGACAAACCTGCCAGTGTGAAAGTGCCGTTAGTAACGCCCAAACTGCAGAACTCTTCTGGATTTTCAATGAACTGTGACCATTTGATGTATGGTAATGGTTTTATTCGAAGTTGGTGATGTAACATAGGTTTCCACAGTCTACTCTTTAACATTTTCAGAGACTCCAGCCCACCTTTGACTTTGAAATATGAGACTTGACAGTGCTATTTTCAGTGTGCTAAGAAGCTAACTTAAACTAAAGCTTCTTCACTCCTGCTTAAGCTGCTAGCGCCACTATACTGGGCACCCTATAAGACCATGAGAACATTATTTTACATTTGTGAGTAATGAGTTCGGCTCCAGCTGACAGTAGACAAGAGACTCAGAATGTTATGAAGCATGAAGAGTCGGAGCATACCGGTAATTAAGATTTAATGGGACGATCATGTAAGAAAAACAATCCCTCTCCTTCCACCTTCCATCCACTAATCCTTTTCTGCGTCTCTGCCTCGCCGCTCTTTCCTCTACATCTACTACATTCACAGCAGTTAACTTGCAAATATGCAAATCTTTGGGCAAAATGTGTAAAGTGTGCATTCAGCGTTCCTGCAGCTGATAGTGCATGGACAACTGCTGTGGACAGAGAGGGAGAGATGGGGTGAGGATGGAGGGATGGAGGGAAACAAGAATGGCACTTTAGCTGTGAAGGAAAAGGGAGGGTTGGGACTTTGCAGATAAATGGTAATTTATTTAATCTGTAATCCATGAGATAAAATGCAAGGGCTGATTTAATGATTTGGATATTCATGTGGGTAAATTATTTTTTAAATCCTTTTTTTCATCACAGCTTAGTCTCTTTGACAAATATCTCACTGTCTCCTGGCATTTCTCTATGCTAACGGGATCTTCTGTTTGTTCAACATCAAATCTGTCCACTGGGTACGGAGCGCTGGAATCGGTCTGGCTCAAGGTCCCTGTTGTTTTTTTCTCCAGACCACTCGGTTTCCCTGTGACTCAGAGCTATCTCATTAGCTGAGCTGCAACTAGAGAAGAGGACCCGATAGTGCTAATGCTAATCAGAGCTGTGGCACAGCAGCTAGCTGGCCTGGAGGAGCCTGAGAGACAACAAGAGACCTGGAGCAACACTGTGACAGAAAACCTGCTTCAGCAGGCTGAGAGACATGAAGGGAACTGAATGTGAAATTGTATCTGAAGTTTGAAGTCTTCTGGATGTCAAGAGGGTTTTAATTAAAGAGGTGAAGAACTGTGAGTTGTGTTTGTTGCATGCTGGCCAGCACTAGTTTTAATTTTACATTTAAAAACTTTAAATGGTATTGAAATCTTGGTATGTCTGTGTAGTTTGGGGCGCACTGTTTTTAATGCGTTCCTAAAAACAACACAGAAACGTGCTGAATGTGACACATTCGTTTTAGACTGTACTTAAGGCTCATCATTTTCATTGTTTATTGATTTGTATCTAAAAATACCATGATTTTTTAAAGAAGCTGATCATTTTCCTACTGCAAGAAGACACTCATCCTGCCAGTTTTCCGTAAATTAGGTCCTCTAGTGGGATTAGCAGAAAATGAGGTAATACAAAGTGACAAGACAAATGGGGACAAAATGCTAATGAGCTGCTGATTATGCATCTGACTACCTTTAACCAAGTATAAAATGGTTAAACTACAGTGTTTATGGTGCAAATGTTTTTTTAAGGATCTGATTTATCCAGATATTTTTAATAATCAGAACAAATACTTTTTATAAATTCTGAGATTTTTGGGAAGAGAAACACACATAATATTGGGCCCTCAATGTCCTTCAGAAATTACAGTCATTACAACTAATCTGGCAGAGAGGAGTTGGATATAAATGCGCTTTAATACAAAGTGCAAGTTCTGCATGTCTTTGACTCAAGTCATCAAGCTCCATGACTTATATGAATGAATGAATCAATGTAAGAATGAAGGGTCTACATAGAAAAACCTAATAAACACACTGTCAGCCATTGCTTGGATTAAAAGCATTTTCCAACAGCAAATGTACCAAACAACATTTGTCCCACATGGTTGCACACGTGTTCAACAGTTAAAAATCAGTTATCAACCACTTTGCTGAATCACTGCTTCCCTCACAGTATGCCTAATGGGGACACATACACACACATATATACACATTCATGCCATCAAAAGCCTTACAAAAGTGCTACGATCCCCATCCCTCTATGATTGTACGTCCTGTTTAGGAGGGCTCTTTCTACATCTCATTGCATGTCTCAACATTTTGGCATGACTTTGCATCATCCAAACTGAAGAAAACAACCATCAATACAGCTTTTGTAACAGAAACCTAACAATGAAGTGAAATCAAAAGTGAAACACTGGATTCATCCCAAACGTGGGTTGCTTTACGTTGCATTTAGCAGAAAGATAGAGTTAGTAGAGAAAGCTGCCGCTGGATACAGAGACCTCATATGGAGGCGGTCTCCCGCTGATCTCTCCTGACCGGGGAGACTCTGCCCGTGGCTAAAGGGCAGTTCCATGCTGGAGGTTTTTGGTATCGATTGTTCGAAGCTGCACCATAAACCCTCTTGAAGGGGAATGTTTTCACTGTTTCACCTAATTAAGGTTGGCAAGGCCGACTGGCATGATGACTGGGCATGCTGGGATGTGAAATCCCCCGCCAGCTTCAGGATCCCTGCACCCTCACCCAGCCGCACCACTCAGCAGCAGTGAGTATTAGACTGTTTGCATGTGCTACGGGGCATATAGGGGGTGGTGGGCGGATGGAGCAGCGGTGTCAGTGTTGGTATTGGCGGTATCAGTAATGCCCTGATTGCAAGGCGAGTTTATTTTTTCTGCAATCATTGAACAAAGGAAGCAGGCGTTGTAGATATGCGCTCGCCCCAGTTTTCACCTCTCATGTATCATTTTTCACATTAGAGAGTTTAGTGTTAGTGATTACATTCAGGTCTGAGATAAAAGTAAATGTTTTCATCAAACGTTAAATATATCTTTGAAAACACCGCAAGTGATTTAACAAACCTTGTCGTGTTTTTGAAGACATGCCCATAAACCTCTAAGCCCTGGGTCACAAGAAGTGGCAAAAAGACATTGCTTTTTACTTTTTTGTTTGCAAGCTGCATTAATAGCTAGCAAGTTAGCAAACAACTGATAGCAAACCATCGCACCGGCCTAAAAATTGATTTATTTACTATTTCATCTTAGTCAAAGTTAAATTTGGCAAAAATCTGGTGTAACTGGACCATAAGAACAAAATATACAATATTACTTTAAATGTACAGTGGCTAAGAGCCTTTTACTTGGGTTCCTATTCATGCTAATGGAAATTATTGTCCGAGACATTTTTGTCAACCTAGAAAGAGTTCACGTTGTGCAAGTCTCTACTAAAAGACAGTTATGTTGGGATGTGAGTATTTCTTAACAGATTTAAGTTTGACTTTCATTAGCTAGATGCGGTGAAGCTGATTTTAAAGGTACCCTCTGGAGTTTTCTTGTAACAAAGTTATGTGTTGCTTTTAGTAAACTCACACCAAAAGGTCCAAAAAATGGGTTAAATGCATTTCCTCCCTCATGTAACATCGGCAAAGCCAATTTCTTGAAATATTTTAAATGCTGCATTGTTTACTCACTTGTTGGCTATAGCTAGCGGTCTTCTTCTTCCTTAGCTTCTCTGTACATTACTGCCGCCAACTCTTAATCAGCGGGAATACCGTGAAACCGATGGCAGAAATGTGTATTGCATGTGCTCACACATAAATGTGTGTGTTCACAATAAACCAAATGAAAAACTGTAATTGTAAAAAACATTGCTCAATAACACTACTTGTGGCTGCCTAAAATATCACAGGGTACCTTTAAGTTGATTTGTTTTATCTTATGAAATGGAAACTTCAACAATGGAAGCAGTTGGCTGTTATGGGGACATAAAACATAAAAAAAGTCTGAGGAGCTTGTGATCCCAATGACAGTTTACCTAAAATACTGATTTTCTCCAATGTTTCAGTCGTTCTTCCAACGCTTTTGCATGATTGAAAAGCTGATTTACCAGGTTTCTAAGGAACCTGGTGGGTTGATGCTTCTGGTTGCTATCTAATTCATCTTGAGGACATTCAAATGTACTGTACATGATAGGCAGGCTTGAAGGGTCTCTGTGGATTATCAACATGTTTTCAACAATGATAAAAGACCTGGTGCAACTGTTTTACTAATATTTATTTTTGATGAAAACAGGGGCTTATTCCATCAATTGTAACCAACAATGTAAGCAGAGTCTCTGAAGTAAAAACGCTGATTAAATGAGAGGCACAAACTGTAGCGAGGGATATGTGGGTGATTGTTGGAACTGAGAACAAGCTGATTTCTCACTTCAAAGGATTTGGAATCGTTTGTTACCTCCAGCCGAGAGCTAAGATATTCTTCTACTAAACAACAGTTGCTAAATTCCTACTGTGAAAAAAGATCTGGGAGCAGAACATATAATTCCAGGAAGAGTGTGTGTGTGTGTATGTGTGTGTATATGAGCTGGTGTGTGTGTTTGCAATAAAGCCTGCCATGCAGTGTTTTGTTTTCCAACTCTGTTCATTAGTTTAATAATTATTTTCCTAAATCTTATTAGTCTTATCTCAAGAGGAGCCGTGAGCAAAGAAACTGCAGTGTAAGTCTGTGTGTGTGTGTTTGTGTGTGTGTGTGTGTGTGTGTATATATGTGTGTGTTGACGGAGTATGTGTGCTTGTTCTGTATACAATGTGTAGAGCGAGACAGAATTGTTTTTGTGTTTTCAAGTCTTTTTATGATTTTTTTTCTTTGTGTTCTTTTTTTCGCTGTAGAAAAAAAAGCACAGATAACATTGAAAAAAAGTCAGTGCAGTCAATGGATATGAAACAGGCAAATTTTGACCGGGCCAATGTGACCGTGTCTGTTCGGCGCCACCACACAAAGGTTGGCTGGTGTCGTTAAGTCCCACGTGAATAACCAAAAAGCAGCTCTCCGGCTTCCATTCTTTCCCCGCAGTGGTGCCAGGGAGATGGGATCCGAGAGTCTGTAAGAACGCTCCAGGATGACTTTTGGAATCAACAAAAAGCAAAACAAAAACCAAAAAACAAGAGAAAACAGGTTTCCAGTTGTTAGCGAGTCCTCCGCCTGACTCTGGTAGAGAGCGAGACCATGGAGGGTCATGCAAGGGTTTTGTTTTTCAGCTGGAGTAAATCGCAGGGCAGAAAGAGCAGCACAAAAAACTGAAGACCTCTCCGCTCTCTGCTTTCATTGTAGTCCAAAAAAATACAAATCCCTTTTCTGAGAGTTGGTGTGATTCTGTTTTTTTGTTTTGTTCATCCACTGGTTGCTTGCAGACTGCAGAAGCACAGCCGGTGCACATGGGGATTTAAAAGACCAACAACGCTCTCCTTCTCATCCCACACATTCTGTTGAAGTCATCTTAGATTCTCAGTTTTTTTTCTCTCAAACAAAATTCAGTGAGTTTTAAGACATTTTCTCCAAGAGAGAAAATAACAAAGTGTCATTCTTTGTAATAACAACAATAAGAAGAATTATCGTCCTCTAAGTAGAAAAAAAGGGAAGAAAGTGTCGCTGCGCATTTCTGTCAGATGGCCTGCGGAGGCGGCAGGCGTCTCAGTGAAGGTGAGAGATGCAAACACCCACTGGAGGAGAGCCTGAGAGCTGTAGCAGCACCTCGCTGACCGAGGTCCCATGGGTGCACCAAAACACCCAGCGTCCGGGCCCTGGGTTCGATTGTCAGCTATGCTAGAATCAATCTGTACAGTCACTCTCCTGCAGATCTGGCATTGTTGTTTTCTTCACATAGATTACTGAAGCTGACTGCGGCGGATGATGGTTTCTTATGTTCCGTATATGAGAAACATTAAAAAACAAAGAAAAAAGTTGAGTATTTGATTTCAAAAGCCGGTAAAGCACTAACAACTGACTATATGGATATTTAAAGTTTCCCCACTGAACTATCTCCTCACCCAAAGTGACATTATGGTTTAAACACACTGAATACAGAGAAAGAAAAAAAGGCGGCGTAATGTTTCATTAAGCGAGTTAAGTATATATTGGTTTGGCAGTGTCCAAGCCCCCAGAGCCACGTGAGAGCAGCCGGGGTTCACCGGGATGATGCATTCAAAGACAGGTGTGTTCACTATTGCGAGTGTGTGAGTGTGTAATTTTAAAGAAAAACAACAATCTAGCTACTCCTCGTTTTCCTCCAATCCCCGTCTCCAATGAGAAGGCCGTCAGTCCGTTTGATCTTCATGGCCCTCTCAGATGGATGCGCTGCCCTGCAGGCGTCATGGCCGCCGACTGGTTTATAGACGGGGTGAACGAGGCGGGTGGTTGGTAGCTTGACTGCCCATCCCTCTCTCCTCCTACGTCTCCTCCTCCTCTCTCTCCTCTTGCTTCTTCCCCTCTCCCACTCCTTTTCTTTTTGCCCTCAGATGTGCCTCTTCATGTGCAGGGCCAGGTGGTCTGACCGAGAGAAACACCTGCAGAGACAAACAGAGAAACTGTGTCATAAATATCCCAAATATGCATGAAAAATATAGGAAATAAGAGACAGGAAATGTTAAGATGAAACTTTATTAATGCGTAGAAACTGTCAGTGCAGCAGCAGAGAAGAACAGGACGCAGCAGAACAAATAAAAGACAAAACAGCTTACATAAATGTATACAATTGACGATGTGCAGACATGCAAATGGTCTGGAGGTTTGCACAAAATAACCACAATGTATTGTATCAAGCTACAGTTGCTGATGAATGCCATTGGCTCTGTATATTAGCTGTGAATGGGAAACATTCCCAGCCCCCTTGAAATACCCACTGGATTTCTTGGGAACTCTCCATAATCTCAGGCCCCTTGAACTTCCCACCAGCAATGTGTATTTGCTGGGAATGCTCCACACTGCTAGGCCGACTGAAATACTCCCTGGCTCTGGGTATTTGCTAGGAATTCTTGTCAGTCCCAAGGCCCCTGAAATATCCACCATGTGCTCTGGTCTGATTACATTGCTGCAGTGTTTTGAAGGTGGTGTAAACTTCAGTGTTGATGCACAGTTGGCATTCTGTTTGTTGGTCAGTACCCTGTGAGGCACAGCAGCCAATGTTAGCCACTTAAGCTAACTAGCTAATATTTGTTGAAAATACCAAACAACCTCACAAAGTCTCACAAATACTGAACATACAACAGTACACTCTTTGCTACGCTAGCCTTTTAGTTTAAACAGAAATTAAACAGTTAATAAAGTTTGAATATTAGTAGTAGTAATTCCAATAGAACCGTCTTTTTCTATGGCTATGGCATTGATTTTTCTATAAAGTCAGTGCCTGAATTGGACCGAATACCAAATGCCAGCATCCTAATTCAGCACAACCCTAACCAACACTTTTGGTGTTTTTATCCATTTTGACAAGGCCATATTCAGTGCTGTTTTCTTGTCGTTAAGCTAGTTATGTGTACATAGAGATTCAATTACGCTGGCTTTGATTGGCTTTGACATGTTTTACCCCAAACCCTCTCATTCCTCATGAAACCTAACCAACCAAACCAACAAAGGTAACCAACACCAGCAAACCAGAAGTAGAGTAGGTTGGGGAAAAAAGCGTTATGGGGGTGTTGAGAGGTGCATAGGTAAACTCACCAGGAGGTGGCAATACGCAGTAAGAAGTAAGGGTACTTGTAGGCAAAAATCACAAGTGCTGGCACTCAGTAGCTCTGATTATTGGCCCATGTCAGGCACTGTATAAAGACATATTTAAATACATATTTATAATACATATTTTATACTGGATAAAGCATAGCCAACTGAAAGTATTATTTCAACATGAAGCCAGACAGAGAGATTAGCAGAATAAGAGAGAACTCACGATATAACACACAAATTCAGTAATGCAGAGAACTACAGAGATTTTCGACCAGTTCATTTTTAAATGTACAGCAAATTTCTGTAGTCCTACTTCACTATGTCACAGCAGTGAAAACCCAGACGAGAGGACTTGGAATTGAAGCTCAGTGATTTCCTAAATACGACTCAAACACGGCCATAAATCACAGCCAGACCTCCGTGGCTCTCAAGCTCTGAGTAGAGTACTATTGAAGAAACTAATTAGATATGCATTGTGAACACGGACACTAATGCAGACAGGCTGGCAGTACTTTCTGATGCCGGGTCATTTAACTCAGCAGTGACTGCACCTGGTGTGAGAGAGAGGGACATAAAACCAGGTGCTGGTGATGTTTAATATACACACTGCAATGTCACGAGTATTTTATTTTTATTACACTATTGTGAGGGCATTCAAGCTGAACATCCACAATAAAATGAACCACAAATGATATGACTAAAGGAGAGGCAAAACAAAATGTGGGCGAGAATAAAATGAGAAATTAAAAATTCAATTTGCCAGAGGCTTTATTCATTATTAATTAGTCAAGGCAATCTATGTGTGTGAGAGTGTGTGTGTGTTTAGGCAGGCTGTTGTTCTTTCCAGATACATGTAGACAGAGCTGAAAAACGAAAGCACAATAGAAAGTTTGTCACGCTGCAGCGAAACGTGCTGTCTCTCCGATGCTTCCACTGTGATCCATTCTCTTAATGTCAGTCTTCAGATGCTGCAGGAAACCTCATTTAGAGTACAGTAATTAGGCTGCAGCTTCACACTGAGCTGGGAGAATTGCATAGAAACCAGTTGATAATGTTCAGCATAGACATTGTCCTCACAAGTTTAACTGACAAGCCAATCAGCTTAAAGCAGAGCTCTGACCAGACGCCTGTAGTTTTGTGAAATTAAAAGTCCGGCTGTGCTACGTGCGGACAAATTCTGTATATGATGATGTTCACTCGTACAAAGTGTCATCATCAGCCTAAGTGATGCTGCTGAGAGATTCAGCTGCGTTTCCTGCTCTTTCAGTGTGGATAGTGAGTTTTTAGAACATTAGTTGTGTACACAAAGTGTGGACAGAACCCCCTTAACATGTAATTCTTTTAGATTTCAAAGCATTACTGTGAACATGGTGTGAGTGTACAGTTGAACTTTGCTCTCACCTCTGTTGTCTGTGGTCTAGTGTTTCCCCTTAACCTTTGGCTGGCCATGTGGTGTGGTACCTACTGTACACCTTCATCAATCTGTGTGTGTGTGTGTGTGTGTGGCTGGACAGATGGTCATGCCAGTTACTGTGTCACTGTTGGGGGTGTGGAGCAGCCAGACCAGCTGGTACCACACCGACTCCCCCACCACCACCACCACCACAGACCCCTCCTCCTCATCCTCCTCTTCTCCTCCTCTAAACTCTCCCTTCTCCTCCTCACTTTTTGTCCGCCTCCTCATCCTCCTTCTTCCAGCTCCATGGAAACATCAGGGGGTCCCCGCTTGATTAGGCAGGATTAATGACAGACTGCCGTGTGTGTGTGTGTG